TCTCTCTCAAAATAAATAAATAAATGCTTCTAAAAAACGGTTAAGAGAGTAAATGTCTTCTTATGTATTTTACTACAATTAAATGTTTTTGCTTTAAAAAGAGCACAAGAGGGGCACCTGGGTGGCTCAGTCGGTTGGACGACCAACCTCGGCTCAGGTCAGGATCTCACAGTCCGTGAGTTCAAGCCCCACGTCGGGTTCTTGCTGACAGCTCGGAGCCTGGAGCCAGCTTCGGATTCTGTGTGTCCCTCTCTCTCTGCCCCTCCCCCACTCGCACTCTGTCTCTCTCTCAAAAATAAAAAATGAAAAAAAAAATTAAAAACATTTTTGTAAAAAAGTTAAAAAAAAAAAAAACACAAGAAACATGTTGGAAAGTACAAGACCAGTATGTATCTAAGCCCCACCAACAACTCTTCAGCCGTCTTTTGTAGGTAATTTGCAGTATGTTGCATGCATCACACGTGGAAGAGATATTACGTGGAATTAAATTCAGATGCTCGGCTTTGGTTCAGTTATGTGCCCAGACTCCCACCAGACACCCGGATAAAAGGAGAAACTCATGAGCTCCTCAAGTGCATGATTGGGTCTCTGTGACAGGAGCAAGGACAATAGTCCCCACAAGAGGGCAGGCATGGCTTTCTTTTCCAGCATCGGGACAGGCTCCTTGAGCTGCCGGAGACTGATTAGACTCTCCAGGTACAACAAAGTCCTGGAGATTAGTTTGTTGGGTTTTGTACTGCACCGAAGAATGAAGAAAAAGTGCTCTGCCTTCAAGAGAAGCAGGAGGATTCTTGCACTTGACGTTGCTAAGAGAGGGGCCTTTGCAAAACCTTCGTGTGAGGACACTTTCCTCGGCTCTGCATTTTCGAATGCTTTTAAAATGGTTTTGGGGGCACCTGGGTGGCTCAGTGGGTTAAGCCTCCGACTTCGGCTCAGGTCACGATCTCACAGTCCGTGGGTTCGAGCCCCACATCGGGCTCTGTGCTGCCAGCTCGGAGCCTGGAGCCTGCTTCGTATCCTCTGTCTCCCTCTGTCTCTTTCTGCCCCTCCCCCACTTGTGCGCGCACGCGCGCGCTCTCTCTCTTAATAAGTAAATAAACTAAAAAATAAAAATAAAATAAAATGGTTTTGAGATCCAGCAGGAAACCACCCTGGAATGTACACCACTTGCACAATTTAACGTCTCCGTTTGCAGGGAAGGGTGTTTAGGTTGCAACATTGTTTGACAACAGCGCTACGGTATGAAGGATGCTTTTTCAACAAACCGAAGGCCTGACAGATGCCTCTATTGTTCGAGGTCGGTCACTGAAAGAGTTGGGGAGGGAGGGGTCAGTCCTGATGAAATAGAAGCAGTTTGTATTATAAAGTTCCTACCTTTTGAAAATGGCGAGAAATTCTTTTCCAGATGTTCTTTCGGCTAGAAACACTGACACATTTCGATAACCACTGAGAACCTCACTGAGCAGCCCCTGCGAATGTATTCTTCAGGACAAATCGATCCTTGAGGGGCCGGGCTGTTAAACTCATCCAGTGAAAGCCTTAGGACCCTCGACTGAAATCCTCGGCTGTTTCCACGTTTCCCTATCTTTTGATGGCAGTTGATTTTTAATTGAGTGTATCAGACAAAACAGATTTAAAAAAAATTTTTTTTAATGTTTATTTTTGACAGAGCATGAGCGGGGCAGGGGCAGAGAGAGAGAGGGAGACACAGAATCCGAAACAGGCTCCAGGCTCCGAGCTGTCAGCGCAGAGCCCCACGCGGGGTTCGAACCCATGAACCGTGAGATCGTGACCCGAGCCGAAGTCGGACGCTTCACAGACGGAGCCACCCAGGCGCCCCACTGAAAAAATAATTTTTAAAGAGATTTTAGGATTCTTCTATTAGATAAAAACAGCCATTTTGTCAGTTAAATAATTTGT